ATATATATATATATATATATATATATATATATATATCGTTTCCTATGCGATTGCAAGAAAGAGAAAAAGAACAGCAAGTATAGAGAGAAGGGTCATTATTATCTTATCCCCCACCGTTCGTAAATGAGAGGAAGAAGAAGAAGAAGAAACAAGAGAATGGGAAGTTTGAGAATCCGTGAAGTGTACATGCCGCAGAGTTGATATTGAACTTTCTGATCTTCCCGGTGGATATATAATGTGCGTTGAGGATGGTCTTTTCTCTATTTCCCAACTATCCCGATGTCTGTTATTAACAGAATTTCTCTTATGGCCATTACTCTCGCGTCTGGAAATATCACATGGAATGTGTGATCCAATCAACTGCGGGTTTGTGAGTGAAGCCCGAACCATAAAACACCGCATGCTCGCAGCACCTGCCTTTCCGGATCCACTTTGAGAAAGAGCGGAACTGTTCATACTGTTGCTGCTCAGATTACTCATATTGCTTAGGGTTCTCTTATGGCCTGGAGGAACGATATCTGAAGAGGGAGAGACACTATTATGATAGGGACGGTTGTGTGCAGTGTTCATATTCTCTCTCGATGGCTGAGCAAAAGATAACATCGTCAAACAACCCACTGAAATAGATTTGAATCTCAAGAACTACACGTACGAATATAATATCTATATATATATATATATATATATATTATTTTCTTAATGTGCCAGTTGTGTGGCTTCTCGAGATGAACTATATTTAGATGATCCCCTACTGAGAGGTTTCAAGAATAAACGCGATGGAATTTTACCTCACCACTAACTGGGATAAATGCAGGTCAAATATATATATATATATATATATATATGAAAGAGAAACACACAGAGAAGAGAGAAAAGAGAGAGAGAGAGAGAGAGAGAGAGAGAAAAAAAGAGGTGTAGAATCAAAAACAAATAAACATCCAATTTATATTCTATTCCACATCCTCAATAATAGTAGAGAAGAAAACCTCACTTTGTATACTTATCTTTTCTTTTTTTTCCTCATTCTTCTATGTATGTGATCTTCTTCTATTTTCTTTTTTTTTCTTTTTTTTTTTCTAAACTTACACAACTGAATTATCCTGCAAAGCAAAGGAAACACTTGTAGCATCATTAGAGACCTGAAAGTACTGACTAAAATAAAGAAGATACTTCACCAATCCCGGTAGGTCCTCTAGTGCAAAGTAAACATCATTTAACACATCTTCATCCTTCTTCGTTATTGAAATATTATCCATTGAATCCCTCACATTTATGGATTGCTTTCCTTTTCTTTTCTTCTTATTCTTCTTCTTATTATCATCATCATCATTATCATTATCATTACTAGCGTCTTCATTACTACGACGAATGGCATCCACACTCTCACATCCCCTTTGCGGTTCAGTAATAAGACTATTAAAAAAATTAAGTATATCCACAGTACCAGTGGTCCCCTCTATTAACACAGTTGAATCTACATTTATCTTTTTTCTTTCTGTTATTGTTAATGGTGGTGGTGGTGAAGTCTCATTACAGGAAGAGTGATGGTGTTTATAATAATATGCACGCATGCGTGGAAGTAAAATACGCTGAATAAATAAATCGTGTAGTGGAAGAATAAATGGATCCAAACCTCCACCAACAGCCGCAACATTCTCCTCTCGCACTACTTGTGAAAGTGAACCAAATGTAGATTCAAAGTACCGCCAACGTAATAACAGGTAAAGTTCCGTCCAACGCATGAGTTTCCAAGAAGAAAAAGAAGAAGAAGCCGCCGCTCCTGTTAAGATATTATCACTATTCGAAAGTTCTCTTTCTCTTTTTCTCTCTCTAGAGAGAAAAAACTCTCCAATAAGAAAAGGCAACACCACCCGCTCAGAGGCATACATCACCGCATCTGCTGTGCAGAAGTGTCGTTTATCGTAAAGGGCCTCAAACAGGCGAGTTGTGAGAAAATTATCGCGAACACACATCCAAGGGATGAAAGCATCTCGCTTTGGATCTACAATTACTTCAACCACTGTAAATGAAACAGCATGTTCAACCTGAGTGGAGTTTTCTCGTAAATACTCATTCGAGTTTTTATTCTTCTTTTTATTATTATTATTATTATTATTATTATTATTATTATTATTATTCATTTGGGCGGCGAACCCACGCTGTGCCTCTCCCAACAAGAGTAATGCCGAAGAGTGTGTGGACGTCTCCGCCTGCTCAGTGGAATGCACATCGATTTGAAATCCACGAAAGGCCGAAGGACACCAATTTCCCATTTCCCGCAGTGTTGGCCCTTCACCCGACAGTAAACGACGTCGACTGTCGCCGAGAATAAAAACACGACAGGAATGACGCGCTGCCATTTCTGCGGCTTGCCGTATTTGTGTGAGTGTACATCCCCAGAGACCCTCAAATATCACCGCTGGGAGTTCACTTCTTCTCACATCTTCCGCATCATCAGAGGAGGAGGAGGAGGACTTTTCTCGCCAGTAAAGTGTTTTCCTAAGCATGACGAGATGTTCTTGAAGAACTCTCTCTACATCAGCAGAATAAGAATAAGAATAATAATAAGATGATGATGATGAAGATGAAGTAAGATCATCTCTCTTTTCAGAGTTATCATGATTCTTAAAAATACTACATGGGACTACCAGGAAAAAAAGAGTTGGTTTGATCAGTAAATTAGGATGATGTGTGCGATAGGCCTCTAATTGTCCACTGGATCCCTGTGGAAGTTTTAATATAGTTTCCATATTATCCATGATAGGCACAGATGTACACTGAGAAAGATCTCCATCTTTCATATTATTATTATTATTATTATTATTATTATTATTATTATTATTATTATTATCATTTGTTGTTGTTATTCTTGTAGAGGAAGAAGAGGATGATGTTTTTCCTCCTAATTTATATTTTTGTGCAATTCGAATAGAAGCATGTGTACTCACATCTTTTCGTGAGAGACGAATACCCCTTAAAAAACTATCGGTATTCTCCTTCTGTTTCTGTTTTTCTCCATTTAAACAACTGAGAAGGAACAGTAATTGATTATTTGGTTGGAGTTCATTGAGAAATATTGTGGAGGGGCCAACAGGAAGGCGCCGCAGCAGCCGCTGCAGGGATCGAGGTGCTGTCGACAGTTTTAACAGCGACTGACTTGCACAGCCTTATTAATATAATTATTAATAATAATGTTTATTATTGTGATGATTAATGATTACCCGACAAGTATACAGAGTCCCTTGATCTCTTTTTTTTTCTTTTTTGTTTGTTTGTTTTGTTTCTGTTGTTCTATCAACGCTGATATCACAACTTCATACCTCCACTCCAAAAAAACAATAATAAAGAAAAAGAAAGAAAGAAAGAAAGAAAAAAATAACAAAGAAACATAAAAGGAACTCCTTTAATTCATATTATATCAAGGTTATCTTCCATCTATATATATATACCCATAAGAATACAGGGATAGGGGAAGATCATGTATTTTCGCTCTTTCTGATATTTATTATATTTTTTTTTATCTTTTTCTGTTAGTTTTTGCCTGTGGAATGAATATAAAACGTCTCAATTACACAAACTCAACATATTTATTGTGATAACGGTAGAATAACTTGTAAACTGTGTTAACTATACAGTTAATTTTTTCCCCTCCTTAGCCAGAAGCTATTAAAGTTTTTTTTTTTTTATTTTTCTTTTTATTTTTTGAAAGAAAAAAAAGAGAAATAAAGAAACAATGTAGATAAGTCTAACAAAGAAAGAATAATAAAAAAAAAGAAAAGAAAAAAGAAAACACTCAAAATCTATATATTTTCTTCTTTTCAAAGAACAAAGGAAAACCCCCACCCACCCCAATAAAAAAAACAAAAAAAAGAAGAGTTAAGTATCATGTAGTTCTCCTATTGTTTTGTAAATGCCAACCTCTCAAATAGTTTGGCAGCTAATCCAGTTCTTTCAGTGGAATCCTTAACTTGTGAAGCCGCAATGGAATTATCTTTGAATTCATCACCATTAATAAGATCATCCACATCTACAGCCGCAGAAGGTGCTTGATTATACTTCCGCAAAGCCAAACTAGTCGAACCCATCTTTCTCTTCCCAATAGAGGAAGTTATTTCTTCCTTATTTGTCCCTTTTTCTGTAGAGGCGGGAGGTCTAAATACTGGTTGAAACCTATTAGGGTTTACTATGATCTCTCTTTCTCGTTTGGTAGGAAACTTCCCATCAACAGAAAATTGAGAAACATTATTTTCACTACTATTATTATTATTATTATTATTATTATTATTATTATTATTATTATTATTATTATTATTATTATTATTATTATTATTATTATTATTATTATTATTAACCGTATTTTCCTCTTTATCCTGCATAATATAATCAAACCCTTTTTTCCTCATAGAGCAAGCCTCAAAAATAGAGTGGCGTTGATCACATTGTTTACAGATATGAAGAGAACCCTTTGTATCTTTTGTGTTTAGAGTTTTATTACTCGTAACTCCTACACGTGAGGGATCCTCTGTCGTTATTTGAGGTAATTTTGAGAGAGAAGGTAAAATTAATGATAATGCATCCGGTGGATCATAGGAGTAGTCTTCATTCGTCTCTATTCTCTTCTTTTGCATGGCATTCATCATTGGAGGACTTGTTTGTAGAGAAGATAACACCAAATCTGTTGGTATAGGAAAACTTTCAGTAGGAGTATATGAAGGAGATAATCTATTATCCTTATTCGTCCTATTAGAAACTGTATCTTCCATTGTGTTGCTATTCTGAGTTTGTTCATTACTGCTAATATAACGATTACTCTTTTCATCACCATTATTATTATTATTATACTCGTTGTTATTAGTAGTAGTAGTAGTAGTAGTAGTAGTAGTAGTAGTAGTAGTAGTAGTTCTTTGGGTAGGACTACTGGGGCTGCTCGTCTCATCCTCCCAATCTTCCACTTTCCATCTTCCTTTTGTAAAATACTTTGAACGCACTACTGCCGTTGATCCACGCATTCCAACCGCGCAGAACCCAGACGCTATTCCCACCTTCTGCAGTGGAGATGAGAAGAGTGTTGTGGTTGTGGTTGTTGGGGATGTGTGCTGCTCACCCGTGCGATCGGAGTTGTTTGAGCCTAACGTTATCGTTACCCGCGGGGATTGAATCCCTTGAAAACCGTTAAATGTATTTAATGCGGTTTGTCCTCCCCGTGTTTGTTTCCAATACTCCCGTACGCAGTATTGATAACAACCGCGGTAAAGTGTTCGAGTGACGGGATCATATAAACATTCCCCACAAATCTTTTGTGCCATTTCTCTTGTTAATAAATCCCCAAGAAGTGTGGCTTTAAAGGGAACACGTTCTGGTAATGGCGTGAAGTGCACAACTTCCTTTCGAATGGGATCAAATACCAAGTGATGGGCAAAGCAGTAAAATGCCTGTTGTAGTTTAGATTCATACTTCACTAACTCATCTTTTGGGAATCCAAACTTTACACTCAGTGTATCCATTATACTAGAGATGGAAGTGGCTTGAGCGACCAATCGAAATGCCTTCTTTACACCAATATGACGTAAATTGGGTAAATAATCACATCCACTGAGAATACAACCCACTAAAAAATATTTATATGATAACCCTTGAAAACTTGGGCATCGTGGTACATCCTGTGAAGATAAAACTTCACAATTACCATGAAAATCTAGTTTGGCGATTAAACATGGACACTCATAGGCAATAAGATCACTATCCTCTGATATCACAGCTTGTACATATCCCTCTTTACATAAATACGCTAACTGAGCATCCGCTTCATATGGGGCTACTATACACTCTAGTCGACGTTCCTGTAATACTTGAATTACCGCATGGGCTAATTCTGTCGTAATATCCATTCCTTTTTCTAATAATTGTGCGGCTTCTTGTCGGGCTCGGGGATTCGATGCGGGTCCATCTTTTAATACTTGCACAGCCTCTGCTAACCGTGCAGCTCGATTCATTTGACGTTCATTCTCCGTTTCGCGTTTAATAGGAATAGGAGCTCCATCAAAAACAAGAACAGGATGAATTCCACATCTTAATAAGAGTTCCACGCGACTCACGACAAATTGTAGTAATCTCGTGTTGAGTTGAACAAGACTTTCTACACCAGCGGTGGTGCCTGTTAAATCGGCGGTGGATTCCATAAACGCCTCCACATCGGCATCGCTGCTTAACTGCACACTGCCTAGAATACCGCGGTGAAGCCATACATACATGTCCACAGCCACCCGCTGGCCGCGGAAACTAGACAAGTGGGATTGACGACAGACAGGCCGTACCTCCGCCCAAAGTCCTTTTATCCCCATCGCAGTCCTATTGTTTTTGCTTTTTATTGTTTTTCTTTTTTCTCTCTATCGTCTAGTTAAACTTCACTTATTATATATTCGAAATTATATATATATATATATCTTTTCCCACTAAAAACGAAAAAACCAGTTCTTCTATTCTGTAAGCGACAAAAATTCAGTGGAGTGAACGGTAACCACAATTTTGTCTAAGTATAAAAAAAAAAAAAGAAAAAAGCACCTTTTTTTTTAATATCTTTTTTCTTTTTTTTTCCACCTTTTTTTTCTTTTTTTTTTATCGTTTTACTTCTTCTATGGTTGTGTTTATGTGGGTTTCTTTTCCTTTTAAGTAACTATTGGGACGGGAACTGTACTTTTATTTCCGTCCTCAGAATGAAAGAAAAAAAAAGAATTCCTTTCTCCGTCGTATAAAACCCCGTTAATTATAAATTGTGTTTCTCTGTAAATAAATTATTGAAGAAACAAAGAAAGAAAGAGAGAACGAAAGAAAAGAAAGAAAACGTTTTGTTCTTATTTCTTGTTGTTGTTGTTTTTTTTTAAGCTTTTATAGTCCATCTCAGGAAAAGAAATAAAAAAAAAGAGAAGGCATATTGGTGCCTGATAACACAGTAACGGAGTTCTTTCAATATATTTCTTTTCTTCTCATGTATATTCACGGGTAACAGTCAATGCTGTTTTTAATCAGTTTTTATTCGATGTTCCACAACAACAACAACAACAACAACAACTAAAAAAAAAAAAAATTGTTGAGATCTTCACACCCGCTTTCGCTTCTTACCTACTCCACTGTTGTTATTATTATTATTATTACTATTACTATTATGTGCCTGCAGACGTACACGCTCTCCATGTTGTTTCTTTGCCAGTGTGCGTTGTTTCTTCTGCTGTTTCATCTGTCGGTAGAGTGCCTCTCCATACTTCCGCAGTCCCGATTGAAATTGAGTGAGGGCCTCATCCAGTGAGAGGTTTACAAACACACGTTCCCCTGCGGGAATGGCAGTGTGAAAACAACGCCGCACCTCCTCGGCTGCTAATGGCGGTATCACCACTTGTTTTCCCTGCACTGTTGAGATTGGCTCAGTCTCTGCGTGAGCGGAGTCATTAGTATTAATAGTAGTATTAATAGTATTAGTAGTAGTATCAATAGTATTAGTAGTAGTAGTAATAGCCGTTGGACTATTCTCACGTACATTGGGGGAAGCGCCAAAGTCAAAGAGAAACTGTTCGGCACCACCGAGAAACAACGCCTCACGTTTTTTACCATTACCACTACTACCAGTAGTCTTACTATTATTATTATTATTATTATGTTTATGGTTTGTATTAGTAGTAGTGGATGGGGTTGTCTCTGTCATCATGACGGGTAAAGCTATACACAGAAATATAGACAGACAGACAGAGAGAGAAACAGGGAGGCTAATACAGGTATATATATTATACCTAAGATAGAAAGAAAGAGAGATATTGATAAATAGATAGATAGATAGAGAAAAACACTTTCTATCTCGAAACTTCAACCACCTAGAAGAGGCTATGTAGTAATAAAAGGAGTTTTAGGGGGGAAAAAAGAAAAAAAAAGAAAAAAAAGAAGAAATAAATAAACAAGTTCAAGAAAAGATGCATATAACCAGAATAGAATAGGGATTGATCTGTTGCCTGTAATCAGCGAAAGGAAAAGAAGAAATAAAAAGCAAAAAAAAAACAAGATATAACTACAATAACATGTAGTAAATTCTGATAGTGTGAACAAAAGCAGCGGACTATATACACACAGAAACACACGCATATATATATATATATAAGGTGTATATAAACGTATACGAAAGAGAGGGAATGTCAAAGAGTAAAAAGTGTGTGCGTTATCATTCCTTCTTATTATTTTGTACGCAAGAAAAAAAAAAAAAACTGAATGGACGCTCACACACCATTCCTCACATAATCTATTACTTCTTTTACTTCTGTCCTTTTCTTTTTTTATTTTTTTCTTTCTTTCCCCCACCACCCCCACCCCATGGCGATCATTTTCTTTTCTTCTCTCTCTCTCTCTTTCTTTTCTTTTTCTTTGTTATTGATCTTCTTCTTCTTCTTCTACTTTGCAATCAAGATAACTTCACTTCCAAAACGTACCCATTCATATATATATATAGACAGATAGACAGAACAGATACCACGATACATTTCTTTCCCCCATTTTTCTTTTTTTTTTCTTCTCTAGCGTGAAAGAAACGACACAATTGTCGCGCGACGTCCTGCTGTATTCACTTTAGTGAGTGGGGCATTCTCTAAAAGATCTGCAATGAACTTCCGCTCCGTGTGCCGCATACGAAATGTTTGGGCTGCGTCCATTAACATTCTGCGCATCATCGGTTCCACAAACACTTGTGGTTGATGTTTCATCAGCGAGTACAGTCGCTTCTTCGCCCCCTCGCGACTGACTGGATTACAGAGAGCGGAGACTTGATCCCAAATACGCCGGGATTGTGGATTCACTGCCGTCTCATTACTCACCCGCTCCAACACTGCAGAGAAACTCCCATCTGTTGTACCACTATTACTATTATTATTATGATTATTATTATTATTATTATTGTTATTAGGATTGTCCTGTACATGGGCGAAGTGAGAGGACATTTTGGTATGATTTGTACGTCGACCAATAGAGGTCCATTTGGAGGGGTCCACATATGCAAAGGCGACGGAATAGGGAACCCCATCGGCACTTGTGTAGGCATTTTTCTCATTCAAAACGTAAAAAGACATGGAGGATAATAACTCTTCCGATCGTTTCGATCGTGCCAATATACACGTACCTACAAAACAAACACTACGTACAGTTACAATGGCTGCAAATCGTGTGAGGGCAATGAGACGTTTTTGTAATCCCGGCACTGTACGCACAAGTGCAAATCCCGTATCACTTGAGGCGGCATGACACACACAGAGAATCGCATCTTTTAGTTCCGTAATATCTCCCACACATTCCAGCAGATACGACTGGGCTGCGGCTTTATATCCGCGTGAGGCGGAGAGTAACTCGGCGAACTGCGAGGAGGGCAAATGCCCGTCTCTCAACAAGTGGAGTTGATGGACCTCCGCTCGCCGTGTGGCTGCGGTGGTCTCCGCCTTCGCGGCGAGTCGGCCCCAGACGGATGGATCCTCCTCGCCCAGTGCCCGCTCGGCCATATCGGCATCCTCTTCACTACTCTCACTGCGGGCATCATTTCCATCATCGTAGACAATATCCGGTGGGAGGGATTGATCCATTATTCGCTTAACGGAGCGCTGCCAGAGATTACTATGTTTAAATAATGTACAACCCTCATTGGATTTACACAACACCGCCGCAAAGTGATTTGGAAAAAATCCAGAGGCGTTTCCAGAGGAAGCCATTTTTGTTGTGCTCGCAGAGGGCGATATTACAGCTGGACGGTAAAGAGAAGTGAGAGGATCCGATAAGGTACGATTATGTTGTTGTTGTTGTCGCCAACGTCCACTCATTCCTTCACGGAAATCCACAGCATTCTCAACAGGCTCACCAGACTGCATGCGTTCAATAAGAAAAACGTGATGGGCTGATTCTGTTTCCTCCCAACGGCGTAATTCTTCTTCTACCCAACCATAACACTGTAGAAAACGAAAACCAGAAGGTCTTCCCACTATACAATATAATAACATATTAAGACTAAGTTGTTGGGCATGCTCTCGGATAACATCACTCTCCATTAATACCGTAGGTGAAAGTGATATTAAATAATCTAATGCCTCATCTGAACATAGGCAAATACTAAGTAAAAGTTTAAAAGCAGTTTCAACAACATTATAATAATCATCATGTAATGCTTGAACCAATGTTTCTATACCCCAACGCATAGAAGTAGAAAGATCACGCCATAATGCCTTACGAAGTTGTGTAGCTGCACATAATCGTATGGAATTAGATTCATTACAAAGAGCTAAACGACAGGCTTGTCTAATTTCATCACAAACACCATAATTAGGTACAGCTCCAATGTAAAGATATTGTAATAAATAAAGACAAACATCTTGTAATGTATCGTTTCCTGAAGATGTAGTAATTCGTTCACCAGAGAGTTGAGTAAAAATATTATTGATAATAGAAAACATATTATGTTCCTTCATCGTCATAAGTCCATTTGCATAAAAAGAACAACGACCTATCATACGAAGTATTGTTTCTCCTACACGAGAATCAAGACGTTGACGGTTTAACACTAATGGTTTTCCATCAATTACTTCCTGAAGACAATTGACAAGAGAAGTAATAAAATTATATTTATCAAGTATTTGCACCCCTTGACATGATGATAAGAATAAATCCATTAAAGCTAATCCAAAGACTGAAACCTGTGGGGTACATTCCTCAGGTCGTAATGATACAAAGTTTCGTACTTGTGAATCCAATGAAGGTAAATAAAAGAGGATTAATTTATGAAAGAAATTTGTATGGTTCATTACCCATCTAAAACGAGGTATACTTCGAAGTGGTCCTTGAACTAAGAGAAGTAGTAAATCATAATTCCAACCAGTAAATCCACTTGCTCGTTCTACATTTGTTTCTGATAATAGTTGTGCAAATGCTGTTTCATCCACTTCTAAAGATCCTAAATCATACGTTGATAATGATGAACCTAATAGTGAACTCATTCCATCACTTTTTATTAGACTATCAGAAGGAGGGGTAGCAGAAATTATAATATCTTTTCCAGCTTTAGACTGTTTAAGGAGACGTGCAATAAAGCCTCCAGCAAATGATAAACTACCTTCTTGTGCAAGACGTCCAACGGCTTTATTAAGTGCTGTATGTACTTTTTTCACTGGATCTACTGGAAGAACTGTATCCATTAATACTGATATATCCTGTAAAAGTGAAAAAGCCGCCAAAGTGAGAACACGACTTGTAGAACTATCTTGAATAAGAGAAAGTAAAGCTAATGGAAGTCCATAGTATGAAAGCATTAATAATACTCTTCCCAAAAGTGGATCTAGTACGTGATAACCAATAGCCTTTGTTGTGGGAACAAACTCTTCCTGTCCTTCCATTAATTCCCCTAGCATGGTATCAAAAGAAGTTATATTTTTAGTACTTTCTCCAAGTACTTGTTGAAAATCTCCTCCTATAAAACTTGTAGAGATATCTCGATTACTTTGTTCTCCTTCTACAGTTGATTTTCGTTGATTTTCAATACCATTCCATTTTTCCATTAACGTCATTCCACGATGAGGAGCTAATTGAGAAAGAATTTTATTAAATAATGATAATATTACCATTTTACGGTCTAAATCACCTGGAAGGTGTAAAATATCAATAATAGCTCTTAATCCTCTCGTCTCTGAAGATATCCAAAGAACACCAATCCAATTTCGCATAAACATTGCAAGAACATCTTTGGCTCCATTCATTAACGCTATTTTTTCATCACTACCTTTATCTGTAGAATAGAGAAATGGTGCGTAAAGTACATCCAAATCATTACATCGTATGTACTGTCGTGTCTCTACACGATCAAATAAATCTAAAATAACTCGTAAAATACTTTGTACTTCATCCATTGTAGTTGCCACTCTTTGAATACAGCAACGAAGAAGAATTGTATGCAAAGATGCCGCTGTTGCCATGGCTGGAAATTTTCGAAGTAATTTTATCGCAATACGAATGGCTTGACTTTTACGTTTAGGAGGAACATTTGGAACTGGATCTTGTAAATCCAATAAAGAACCAATACGGTACATCCATCCATATGGAAACTTTGGATACGCCTTTGGATCTATTTCGTAAAGTTCAATCAATCGTGAACACATATTAAGTGCATACTCCAATTCAGTAGCATTTTCACGATCAAAACACATTCCAATAAGTTCACTACCACCACGAGAGAAGAAAAGACGTGTAAACATCACATCTGGAGTGCAAATACGGGCAAGTTGTACTCCTAGAAGTCGCATTACACGACTAGAGGAATCTAATGCTTCCTGAACAATTAATACTAATTTTTCTGTATCTTGAAAACTAAAATATTTCTCATTTCGTACGTACCACTTCTCACCAAAAGCACAAAGTTCATTTAATTTCTCAGCTCTCTCGGAAGCAGGGGATTTTTCTTCCATTTTTACCAGCATTTCATCTACAAGGGTGCTGGATACCTTTCGAAAATAGGACTGCGCTAGTGTGAAATACTCTTGCCAAGCTTCATTAAGTTGTTGAAGAACATTCTCTGATGAGAAACCCACATTAGTCGTTTCCCCATTTTCTTCGGCAACAGTTGTTGGTGTTGGTGTAGGTGTTGGTGTTGTTGATAATCCCCCTCCTTCTGAAAGCAACTCTGCTTGCACTTTTCCATAGCGCGCTCGTGCTTTAGAGAAGTCTTTAACATCAATGGAAAAACTCTGTAATAACTCAAGGGCTGCCACACTAAGATCAGCAGTGGACATACTTTTTTTTTTTTCTTTCCTTTATTTTTCTTTTTTTTTTTTTTGCTTTTAATTTTTTTTTTCTTTTCTTCGTCGATGAACACTATATGATCTTTGTATGTATCTATACAGGCAAATATATATATAATAAAACAAAAAAGAGGGAAAAAGAAAAGAAGAAATTGAATAAAGAAAAAAAGAAAGAAAGAAAGAGAGAGAGAGAAATAATAAATCCAATAAGTTCAAAAACACACTCAAACAAAAAAAAAAAAAAACGGAGTTACACTCTACAATTTCATGAAAACATCACATTCTCCCACTCCCAATACACTTTTCTTTTTTTTTCCTTTTTTTTGTGACTTTCTCCGTCTCACCTCGTTCTTCTCTTCTATTCTATTGTTTATGAGCATGGAGTACATATAAGAATAAACATAAAAATAAAAGAAGTAAAACCACTAACATCTTCATAAGATGTAGAAGAGTTATTTGCACCTCTTCTGTTTTATACACAGACGCACAGATAGATAGATAGATATATATAAAAAGTGAGAGGGAAAAAAAAAAGGAAATGAAAAAAAGGAAAAAAGAAACACATACATAAAGTATGAGCCCAAACTGTACTCTAATTATAGTGTGAGATTAATATTGTGTTTCCTTTCATTGTTCTTTTTTTTTTTCCTTTCCTTTTCTACCCTTCCCCCCCCCTCTCCCCTCTCCCCTCTCCCATCTCTTCTCTATCGCATTGAAAAGGCAAACTCACGTATTCCACCACGCAAGCCTGTTCCTTTATTCCCACGACTCTCTGATGGTGTTGAGCTCCCGACACTCAGTGAAGATGTTGTCTGTCCTAATGGAAGTGGTCTCTGCCGTGCTGGTGGTGCTGTGGGAAATCCCACTCCCGCTATTTGTGGAGAAACACCAATGAGACGATTTCCGCCCACGGAAAGTCCTTCCACTTCCGCTTCTGTGCGGATATTCGGCAACATGCCCAATCGCCCTCGCCTCAGTACACCACTGTTTATGCTGCTACCGAGTGAAGGGGACATGGCAATGGCCCGCCCAAAGGTTGGTGGGGCGCTGTTGAAACTGAGTCTAGAAAGACTTCGATCACTCGTGGGTGATGTCGTGGCGGAGAATTGCATAGAACTCGACAAGGAAGAAGATGCATAGCGACTGGTAGCAACACGACACTGTTCTTGTATTTTACGCATACGAAGTTCTCTGGTTCGTACCGCACTATCCCATGAACGGTGTGGACGTGTGAGGTATTCTAAACTAGCCTCTACAGGAGCTTCATCAAATATAGAAGGTTCAACAGATTCTGTAGTTCCCAATGCTGATGATGATGGTGGTGGTGTTGTTGGTGTTGTTCCCAATAATGAGGATGAGGATGGAGATGGTGTGGCTCTGGGTTTGACTTTTCCCTGAATTAACCGTGTTTTATTTGTAGAAGTGCTTGTCACGAGAGCTCCTTTGGGTTTTCCTTCTCTCTTATTACCACCCTGTTCCTCCTTCACTACAGAAATAATATCCGAGTTTCTAGAAGGAGGAGGAAGAGGAGAAGAGGAAGAGGAAAAAGAAGCTGCAGCAGCAGTACTAGCATTAGGGATAGGAGGATGTTCAATAGGCAAAGGACGGCCTTGTCTCAATGCCGCTGCTACTGTTTTTGGTTTCATCTTTGTATTTGTGGAGGACTGCACGATTGTGCGTGGAACAGCCCGGCCAGCACCAGTGGGAAGCCCCAACTTCTGTGGACGAACTGTTGTTGTTGTTGTTGTTGTTGTTGGATCACCACTAATACCATTGTTGTTGTTGCTGTTGTTGTTGTTGTTGTTATTATTATTGCTGCTGATACTATTGTTGTTATTGTTGTTGTTATTGTTATCCAATGAAAAGAGGAGGTGTGATGTGGTGCCTTTTCCTCTATCACCTCCGTTGTTTGTGTACATCATGTGGATGTAGAGGCTGAGGAAGAAATAGTACAGAAAAAGAAAAAAATTGAAAGGAATTAGTATACTTCTTTTTTTTTTTTTATTATCATGGCTTACATAAAACCAGAAATAAAAGTAAATAAATAAAATAATTGAAAACAATAAACAGAACAAAGTGGTAAGAAACAATTCTTCTCGTTAGTCTCAACACAGCAATCTTAGAAAAGTATATTTTGCTGTTGTTTTTTTTTTTTTGTTTGTTTTTCCTTTTACTTTTCTTCTTTCTTCTTTTTTTTTTTTTTTTCGTTATCACATTCCGCCTCATCAAAGGAAGATTAATTACGCAAATAAGAAAAAAAAAAAAAAAACAATAATTCTTTTGTCTTCATTTTATTGTTCTTCTTCTTAGCGGTAACAAATAAGAAAAATGTACACATGTTTTGATCCCAAATGGAGCCTATTACCACTCACTTGATCCTCACTAAACCCACTCTCACCCACTCTTTCATTTCACTCACCAAAATCATAGGAAAACAACACTACAACAAGATGAAAAAAGAAAGAAAAAATAATATATATATATATATATATATATATATAAACAATACTCAATAAATTAAATCACCTAATGGTCTAACTGTCGCCGCAACATCTCCAGCTCGATAGAATCTTCATTATTATCACCACTACTTCTTCTTCCTCCTCTTCCTCCTTCTTGTGGGGATCGGGGTATTGTTGTTATGCTTGTGTTTGTCATATCATGAGTAGAGCGATTTCCAAATAATGCAGAAGAAGGAGAAAACGGTGGAGGAGGATTAAAACGAGAAAGACCACCAGCATCATCACCACCACGGCTGTGTCTATTGCTAAACCCAGGAGGTGTAGTACTAGTAGTATTAGTAGGAAGAGAAGTCATTTCTTTCTGCTGATATTTGGGTGGTTCCTGCATATTACTAGTGTTATTACTATTTATACGAGACATCTCAAGAGCACTCGTTAACCCCAACTCTTTATTTTCAACTTTACTTGTGGCTAGTAATCGCACACGCACAAATGCCCCACGAACAGGACATCCTTGTTGATTCATTAATGAAAGCTCTAATGTAACGTACTCCTCTGGACGCTCAAGTGCCAATCTCCACTCAGCCATTGCTAATGCCCAATACGGTCCTTCTGTATGTTTCTTTTGCATATTACTATTACTATTACTACTACTATTGGCAGCAGCAGCAGCAGCATTATTGAAAGTAGAGGATGATTCATCAAAGAAAAATAACATAAAAGGTTCACGCGTTACGGCGAGTAATTCTCGCACAGAAGCAATTGGAAAGCGTGTGCCGCCACTACCACCTTCCTGCAAGTACTCACAATCATATCGTGGAGTTGGAGGAGCTGGAAGATACACATCTCTACCAAGTGGAATAAGTGAATAATAACAAGAGAGACGTGGAACAGGTGTTAAATCAGAAGGTAAATGTAATTTACATACATCTACAATCAACATACGAATAGTGGAAGAAGAAGAGGAAGAGACGCTGGCAACAGCAGCTGTACGGGGCACAAGTGTAAAACCAGAAGGTCGTTCTTGATGTCTTGACTCCAATAGAGATGTAGAAGAGGATGTCGTAGAGACACATTCAAAGGCTTCACAGTGGTGAGGAGTGGGTACTAACTGTATCTTTCCATCACCTAAGAGAGTATTCATGGAACCTGGTGAATTTATTTTTACTTGCGGAGTTGTAAATGATACTACGGCTGCTGCTTCTGCTCCTGTTCCTTTTCCTGCTTCTGTGTTTCTTCTTACTTGTGAGGGTGTCACCATATCTCCGGTAGCAAACCCACGTGTCATATTAATAGTAGTAGGATTACTAGTAGTAGTTGTTGTAGTAGTACTAGTAGTAATAACAGGATTAGGATTAGCAGAATTCGTATTCATAATAGCACCCATAGAGGTTCTTCTACTTGTATCTGTAATGCTTGTTAACAAGTCCCCTGAATGTTTTGCCGCTTCTGCTGCTAACATACGGAAGGACTCACTAAACGGTGTTCGCACGGTAACGGAAAATTCCACAGATGCAATGTGATGTCCGTTATTTGTATATAATGGAATATGTCCTCGTAGTGTTGGTCGTTGGGCATTTCGACACTTTTCATCTCCCACAAGTGCCCAAAGACTAACGGAACCCTCCGCCAGCGTTGCACAGAGACGTTCAGCGAAAAGACGTTCTGCTGCCGCTACCGCCACCGCATCTGTTTCTGTTGTTTCCATATCATTATGTGTAGAGAAGGTCATTTCATGAATTTCATCCTGTGAACGCACACGATGGAGTTGAATTAACAACTTGCGTGATTGAAGATAACACTGCAGTAAAGCATCCATCGCCACTCGGAAGGAGACGGTGGTATCAAGGAAGGCATTCAAACCTGTCACTATTGGTGTCGTTACCGTCTCGTGAAGGAGAAAGTCTACAGAACAGAAAACTGGATAAAAGGCATTACGTAACTTTATACCTTCTGGTGTCTCTGTAGATAATATTTGACCTAAAAAGAGTTCAAACACCGTCTCCCCATCCCCAAGTTCATGAAGTGAGAGATCCGGTGAGACTTCATAACCACGAAGTGAACGGACTTGAGCTTCCAGAAATGCCACTCGATCTATTTGTGATTGTAGCATTTGTTGTGCTGCCTCTTCGCGATGTTCTAATGCGGCTGTAGAGGCCTCTACTGTTTCTCGCTCACGCCGCACATGTGTTTCCATCATCCGTAGTCGTTCCACCTGCAATTCATTTGTGAGTCGTAGTTGTTCGAGTTCTGCCACCAGCGCTGCATTCGCCATCTGCAGTTCACGCACTTGTTCCTCTAGCGGCGCATCACACAACTCTACCGTGAAATCTAAACCGTTATGCATATTATCATCATTATCATTATGATGATCATCACTTTTGCGGGGAGCGGTAACTCCAGTTGGTGTGTTTTCAAATAATTTCTCATGCTTCCATAATTCTAATTCCTTCGGTTGTTGTTGTTGTTGTTGTTGGGTTCGTTTCTGTTTAAATGTTGCCCGGTAATTTCCAAATGTGGCGAGAATCTCTGCGGGTGACAAGTCCCGTGTATCCTCACGGTGTGTTGGCCACACCACATCTAACTTGGCCCGACAAAGTCGGAGTTCATCGGTTGTTTGTCGAAGTGCGAGTGCCGTCTCATCCCGCAGTCGCTTTGCCTCTTCACAGGCCTCACGACAACTCACATGGGCTTGTGTGCGTTGGGCTATATCACGATAAAGTAATTGGGCGACTTCCTCCCAATGTGCCGCGTTCTTTCGCGACTCTGCGAGATCCTCGCGTAGGGCTTTGTGTTGCAATTCCGCCTGCTTGGCGAGGGCGGCGTGCTGCAATTGCAGTTGTTGTTCCATCTGCACTTCCAACTGTGCCCGTCCCTCTCGTGCGGCGGCGAGTTGTTCCTCGCATTGCGCCACATCTTCCGCGCGGAGTTCTGCGAGTTGTGCCTGTCGCGTCACATCCAACAGCCGCCGCCGCTCCCGTGCGAGTTGTGTGTGGGCGCCGCGCAGCTCCACCAGCAGTCCCTCGTTGCTGCGCCGCTGCGAGGCGAGGGCGGCCTCTGCGGTGGTGAGTTTGGCCCGCAGTTGCTGCAGCGCGGCGTGGTCGCTGCGTGTCTGCGCGATCAGCTGCTGCACGTCCGCGGCGAGTTGTGTGTTGTGGTCGGCGCCGGTGTTCAGCCGCCGCCGCAGCTCCGCGACCTCCCGCTCGAGCGCCAGCCGCTCCTGCGTGAAGTGCGCGTCCCGCTGGCGCACCGCCGCCTCGAGGTCCCGCGCGGTCTGTTGGGCGCTGCGGGTTTGCGCCGCCTGCACGTCGCGGTCCCGCACGACTTGCTGCAGTTCCCCGGCGGTGTGGTCGAGTCGGCGCTGCAACGCCATGACTTCCGCACGACTGGCGGCGAGTTCGTGTTGGTGTGTTTTAATTAACGCCGCAGCATCATCGAGGCGCTCGCGTAATTCCTCGTTGGTGTGAAATAACGCATTCGCAGTGGCGTAGTGCTGCAGACTGTTTTCCATTCCCCACACCATCATGGGGTCCGGTGGGGCTGCAGCAACTGCAGACACACAGACATTCCGTCCATCCTCATTATTATTATTATTATTATAGTTGTTGTTGTTACTACTATACATTCCTCCTCCCTCATCATTATCAAGGATGTTATGATCTCTTCTTGTATAGACTGGAATGGATCCGTTTAGTGGTGGTGAATGTGGTGGTGGAGGCTTTCCTGTTGCCGAGATAGCAGGAGTAGAGGTTCGTTTCTCTGTTTTTTGTTTATTGGATTGAGGAGCGGTACGTACGGTATGATTGTTTGTTAATGGACTATGTGTTTCATTACGTCTCTGAGCTACTCGTAGTAACTTCAGTTCTTGTTCCTGTTCATTCAGTTTCTTCTGTAGCTGACGGTTGCGCTCATCCACGCTGTAAAAGGCATCCTGCCATTCCTCTGTTGTCTTTCGCAGAGATCCCCGTTGAGTCATACACCGGGTCCAGTGCAATACCCCCTCCCCCAAGAACTTATTAATCTATCTATATATCTTTATCAATCTAGATATAGATATTCTTTTTTTTTTTTTCTTTAGTCAATGGTGTGAAGTAAGGTCAGTAATGTAATAAGAGATAAATTGCTGTGATATAATATGTGTTCTACTCTTTTTTCTCCTTCTCTTTCTTTCACTCTCTTTCTATATATGTATATATGTATATAGATATGTCTATATGTATCGGTGGGTATATTCCTTTTACTTTTTAAGCTTTTTTTTTTTATTCCTTTTTCTATCTTAAACTGTGTGGTAGTATGGCTATTGCCGCCCCTCTATTGCAACTTATTTTTTTTTTCTGAAGGAGGGGCAGCAGCAACTAAAAGACTCTTGTTTTCTTTGGTATTTTTTTTTTCCTTCCGAATTACTCTCTGCTTCGTTTCACTCTATAGAAGCAGGACTTCCATTAACACACACATATATACACAAATAGATAGAGAGAAAGATAGAAAAAATTTGGTAAAAGAATACAAATAATTTATTGCAGAAAATAATCACAGGTTGAATACTCTGTAAAGACATATATCTATATATATATATATATATATATATA